TCTTTTCCCGGGGTGCTTCCCTTTCCTGACATGAATATAAACATCAAGACTTGATGGCAACCCAAAGTTCATTAATTAATTGCATTTGCATAAGGATGTAGTTCTTGGATGTTCTTGGCAGATTTTATATGCTACCGTTTGTGGATGTTTTTTGAAAATTAAGGAAACGCACTTGTTTCTTGACCACCCAATTCGGGATAGTATACCCCAAGCAGCCTAAGCCTAAGCAGCAGCACTCCAAATTGCAATCAAGGACGCAAGAATAGTGGGGGTTCGGACTGTGACCCACTTGCATGACACACACCCTGCATGACCCTGCTGCAATATGAGTTTAGGAGCAGAAGGCGTCTTTGCTGGTATTCATTGAAAAAACAAAATACAGAAAAGGCAACGATACAGACACTGACTCTTGAATTTGGAGGTGACCAAGATTGACTTGAGAGTCTTATTTACAATCCTTTTGTGCGAAGGTCCATGCTGTTTCAACTCAAGGAGTTGCATCATTACCACATACTCGCATGTGTGTGCGGCGTTGTTCTGGATCATGCAGCGTTTGTACGGCAACTTGATGCCTCACTCAATGGACATAGAATACAGCGAGAATCATGTAACATCATGTAACATGTGTCCACCATTGCCTTGAAATCTTGTGACACGATATGACACTATGTGACACTTGTGTTTGTATTAGCTTTGCATGTACTATTTTTGTGTTATAATGTAAATTGTATATCTTTGTATTATCATTGATATTATCTTCTGTTTCCGTTGAGGGTCTCTGCTGAAGGTCCAGCGGAGTCCAGAGTTCAGCGTGAGAGCTCCATTCGCTAAGCTTCAAACTCGTTTCCAACGCCGAGTGAACCAAGGCAATGCTACCATGAAAGAGGTGTTTCCATGCAATCCTGGGCTGGAGCCCCAGAGATTCGCCGCAGCAGATTCCTATAGTGGAAGCTTCCGTCATGCCAAAGCAGCGGAACGATGCGGAACGACGACATTATGCGTTTCAGAACGACTATGGAAGTGAAAGTGTCCTCGGGTGGCTCCAGGGCTGAATGTCCTAGCTTGTCAAACTGCAGTCATGGACTAGTGACTAGTGGCATCTATATAATTGTCAACAAACTTCAGATTCCTTTCAGTTTGAAGCTGACGTCACTGTAAAAGTTCTCACCGTGATGGATGCAAGGACTGAAGAGGAGGTTCCGGAGAAATGCCTCAGCAGTCTCCAGGCAAAAGAGCTTGTGGATATTTGTGAATGCGTTTTTGTCCTTGTCGTTACAATTCTCTCCACGGTTTGTGAAACATTCGATATTATGCGTCATAATGATAACGCATCTGTCTCTTGTTCTAGCCTTTGTGCAAATGATTTCCTGATTCCGAACAAATCATATATTATATCAAGTTGTGAGATACTTAAACACTGCAATCCAGCTTGTCAGTGCGACTGCAAAATGTTGGGGGTTCAACATTTTCCTTTCTTCTTGAGTGTGTGCACAGCGCTACTGATTCAGTTGGTCGAATTCCTCGGGTAGACCCTCTTTGCCTTTCCAGGCAGGTGATTGTGAACTATCTGCTTGGACAGTTTAGATCTCAGACAAATTCAGAGGCGGAGTTGTACCACAAAGAATGGACTAAATCCGATGAATGCTGCGTACTGTCGGCATTTCTTCATTTCTTCATTTCAGAGTGGCAAGCATCCAATTTCGCAGCTTGCAAGTGGCTTCGTGGAGAGAGCCAGTTGATTGGCTCTTCGAGCAGTTTCAGAAACTCTAGGCCTCTAGGCAGGATACGCCGTTTCTTTTTAAAACTTGGGTTTAAGTTTGAGGGCCGAGAACTGTAGAAAGAGGACTTAGATCAGTCAATATTCTTATTGACATGTTACTCTGTTACTCATTAATGATCAAATATGAATTTCATATTTGATCATGTATTAATGTGGCTTCACACATGGTCGACACATTGCACATATCGCCGAGGAATGGACAGACTGCTCTGCCAGCTGCGTGCCTTGGTGGCGTGCTGTAGGGATTTGTTGATGTTGGATGATGGAGTACCGTTGGAGTACCGGGGCATCCCAGGGTTCTCAGATGTTCTCAGATGTTCTCAGGGTTTCAGTCTGTTGCAGTGCATGTGTACATACAATGACATACAATGTGTACAGTGACAGGATGTTGGGTTCTTGTTGCATGGCAAGCGGACCGCTTTCAACCCAAGTAGCATGCAACGTCTACATACCTCGAATATTGGCGAAAATGAATTGACTTCTGGAAGCGTGCATGTGCACGAGATATTGCCTTCCAAAAAATATTGCCCGGGCTGGCGTAGAAGCATGTCACATTGTGTTGTTTGTGCAAGGATGGTGGGCAACGAGAGCGTGAACGTTCTGTGGCAAAGCCGGCGTGTGTTATATATATATGTGCTCTCCCAGGGGCGTCAATGTTCTTAGTATTTGCACTCGTTACAGAAGATTGCAAGCTGTCAGCAATCCCAAAATAGGCCATCGGACAGGCATTGTGGTTTTGATTATGTAAGCCTGTCAAACACTGCTATGAAAATGTTTCATGATGTTTCTGGGCAAAGTTTCGGAGTGCAGCATGGGGCAATCAAGTAGCCAAGCCTGTGCCAGTGGCATCATGCACTACTTGTATAAACTGTAAACCTTTAATTTCAAGTTTCACTGGATTGGGGCTTATTTTACTTCTGGGACCCTTCACCTGTCAATGACATGACCCCTCAGAGTCGCAGACCCGAGTGTGAGCGTTCAAGGTCGTTCAAGTATGTTCAAATTCAAGGTGAAAGCTGCCTTATGATGGCTTCTTTTCTGTTGGCACGCATTGTTACATTGCATTTTCAGCACGTTGAAAGTGCACCGAGCAGTCTGTACTTATCGCATTAGGTGCTTCGATAGAGAACAGACATATGCTGCCCTTCATACGAATGACCTGGTTCATTCTGATGCTCAGGAGACTCCGAACTTGAAGGGCGGACAGCCATGCAACAACACCTTGAAAGAGGCCCACCGTGTTTTGTGTGGGCAGCACAGAAGTAGGGCTGGCAGTAGGAAATTTAGCTCAAGGGTCATGATATACACTAACTACCCATCTTCTATGTGATTACGAAAACATAGTGGCTGGAAGACTGCTGGAAGTATAGTTGAATGTTTTCTTTCCCAATTTAGCACCTACTTGCAAGCAGATGCAATGCTTTTTACCATGTTTTGCGAAGATTTTAATGTGTCTGGTAAAAAAACAGTGCCATACCCTTTCCTGGCTGCAAACTTGGAGCAAAATTGAGAGCAGTTGGCCCAGGCTCAGATGTAAAAGAAGATGTGTTTTTGTGTGGGACAAAATCATAAATATAGACTGCGTGTGCAGGGTTCGATATCTGGAGTTATGAAAGTTGTTGAGTTCCCAAACGTGCAGACTTCCTGAAGATAGCCTGTGAAAGCCGCACAAGTTGACGGGCTTTGTAGAGAGTGAACGTGTTCAAACAGACCACAAAATACGAAGATGTTTACATGCAGCATGCAGACTTGTTTTGCAAGGACCTATGGAGCATTTATATGCATTTATTATTATCCTGCTGACAGGTTGAAGCATGTTCTACAGTGCGATGTCCAAACTACCACAAATGCCAGGCAATGGCGTGTGAGGGGGTTGTTGCCCAACCAGCCTAATCGTGATTCCCAGAATCGACTCATGAAGCTAACAAATTCAAAGGCTAATGTGGGAAAGCGCGACATTTTGCTTCGGATCGCCAACTTGTCCCAGTGTGGCACAAAGACTAAGTGCTGATAGTAAGTATCAGCTTTTGATTTGTTTTCCACTACAGATGTCTCCTCTAAGACTCTAAGCCTTTTTCCAGGTTTGGTTTTCTGCCATTTGTTTGCGTGTACCTGCTGGACATGTTCATGGCACTTTTGCATATATGTGATTCTTTACTCGCATTGTATCTCCAACAAACCATGTAAGCTCTTTAATGGCCATCGCTGTCATGTTATCAAGAAATTCAGGAACGCGTCATTTTCAACCGGAATTGTTTCAGTCAATCCTCAAATGACTTGTACCGATTTCTTGGTAGCCGTCCCTTGACTTCTGTGCGAACAACACCCTATGATCCGTCAGTTTTTTTCCGCAAGATCGCCTTGTCTTTCGATGTTTGTCGTTGTTTCATTGCACTGCCAGAGCTGCGAATGGGGTGCATGGAGCGAGTGGGGTCTTTGCTCCAAGTGCGGTGGGCAACGTCGAGGCTCCCAGTATCAGCTTGAGAGGAACAACCAGACGCGGCGGCGAAGACTTGGATAAGACAATGTACTGTCAGTACTGTATGCATCTGTATGAAATGTTTTCACTACGTTTGATCAAGTCGTTTCCTTGTGCTCTTTCTCAAGTTTGTCAGAGAAATTCATTGAGACGTTTTGAAAGGTGCTAAGCCAAAGGTGTCCAATTATGTTCAACATGCTCCAATACATGCACAGCTGAAAATGGAAAGAAAGGAACTCAAACCGTTTTAACTCCCCACCTTGAACTTGCTCTGAGGCTACAGAACTCGAATTATTGCAAAGATGTCTTGCACTCATTGGCTAGAGTGACTTGAGAACGGCAGGGGCAGATTGATTGTGTTTTATCCACATTCGCTTTAGATTCCTCAATAAAAGCTTCAAGTCAAAAGCATTCGGATGCAACCGGACTGTTTGGTTACCTTACAGACTCCAAACCTTGCTTGATTCAGGAGTTCTGATGTGTTTGCAGTAGGGCCTCAAAGGGAAGTGCTGAATTGCAGGAATCAAGTGCAGAGACCCTGAAACACATACATTCTTTGACCTTGGCCCTGGCTTGCGGAGGGATTTTGCGAGATCGTTGGAAAGTGCTCAGCACAAGTGAAACAAGATGAACCACATGTCTTTGCCAAGACTGTTTGATTCCTTGGCCGGTAAGCAGAGTGTAAACATCCTACTTGTAGCATAAGCATAGAGGCAAGCAGACTGACTCTAATGCTATGCCATGGAGCCTGCCGCACTATGTAGTGGCTTAGCTCAGCGGCTGCAGCAATCGTTACCACTACAGAGATGCAAACAACTGCATTGGCTCGGCAATGACGTGTCGCTCAGCTTTTCCTGGCCTTGTATGGCCTTGTTATGCATTGCTTATCATACCCTTGTCTTGTATAGTCTTGTTATGTCTAGCATACAATATATGGTCCCGTCCCCCGTCTCTCCACCCCCCCCTCCCCCCCATGGGTTGGGTCCCCAGGTAGCATTGCAAGCTATTGGCAGCATTTCTGAGGTCCAGCCTCGTATTTGCTATATAGGTCTTTGCAGCATTTCTGACTACCAGCCTCGCATTTACTAGGTACATGCTACCTTTTAGGCGACCTACGTAGCACACATGCTCCCTCAAAGTACCTACGTGCCACCTATAGTCATATATACATGTGCTATGTATCTACTTCCTATTTACTACCTGTGTACTCTCACAACACTACATGAGTTGAACATATGCCGTACCTACCATACATTCCAATGATGCCATGCGTACCATACCTATGATACCTATCATACAGACCACACATACCATACATATGAAACAACCATATGAAACAACCCCTACCATGCATACAATACCAAACATACATGCCATACATACCATACCTACCTTACATAGGAAACATTCCATACCCATCATAGTAACCATACTAACCATACATACCATACATACTGTCATATCAAACATACCATACCCAACAGACTTACATACCATACTTGCCATCCGTACAATAACAACCATTCATGCCATACATAGCATACCTACCATACATACCAAACATACCATACTTTCCAGACATGCCATACCAGACCGACCATACACACCATACATACCCAACATACCATACCACACCCCCACCACACCACAGCGGGGAGGGGGGACAATACCACACCCCCACCACACCACAGGGCGGGGAGGGGGACAGTACCACACCCCCACCACACCACAGGGGGGGAGAGGGACAGTACCACACCCCACCACACCACGGGGGGGGGAGAGGGACAGTACCACATCCCCACCACACCACAGGGGGGGAGGGGGAAGATCTCATATGGGGGCAGTATATGGGACCCATCCTATGGGGGGGGAGGGGGGGGGGGGCAGGGCCTGGTGCATATATACTATATCTATACTATTATATTACACAATATTCCATATATAATATGATCATATATATATATATATATCAGTATTTATACATGTAATTATATGGCAATATATGTATACGCATATGATATCCTTCATGAAGTTGATATTTGAGGAGGTTCCATTTCACTCATGAGTGCAAAAGTGCAGGCAGTGTGTGTGTGTGCAGTATGCACGTGAAGAAGAACACATCGACAATTCCTTTGTTTCCTGAGGTTTGCTTCAGTCCACAGACAGCCACTTCGCAGTCGCCTTGTTGGAGCACTGTGGTTCCTATGGACTTTTCCCAGATGCACAAAGTCTTTGCATCTTCGCAAGATCCACGGGAGGCGTGCGATAGAAATCCCAATCAGGCTATTGCAAGAGGAGGTTCCTTGGCTGAATTCGAGGTCAGTGTGAAAGGTTATGCTATGCCCCTTACTTTCGGCTTACTTTCTGCCAATGGGGCATGTTCAGATCTGACAGTTTTCACTCTCGCATCCCGCCATCACGCTCTCTCACATGTTGGCTGATTGTTCTCGGCAGCGTGATGAAACTGTGAGGGTCTGACGATAGATTCCTGTGAGCGACTGGCTCCTAACGTTGCACGGATCACGTCCAGTGGCGACCATGGAAGCGGCCCTGTCAATGTGGTGGTGAAGCAGGGGAGCAGGTTGGCACTACAGGGAGAAGCAGCCGGCCTTGATGCGATCCGGGAAGCCAGTGAGATCTTCAAGGTGCCAAAAGTGCTTTGCTTCAAGGCCGATACACCGAGTCGTCTCAACTCATTTAGTTGGCAATGTGTTATTGAGATTTATTGAGATACATCAATAGAGATTTACAAGTAAAGGAAAGAATGCACAAAATATATCCAATTCAAAGCACCTTATCTAATTAATCCTATATACATAGGTGGTTCCAGCAACACTAGTTTCTCTGCACCTTCACAACCTTTGTGGCCTTGAATGCATTGCGAGGAGGATGGACGTGGTGGCTCATACCTCATGATGGAGCCCTGGTGCTTCATATACCCACAGCGAATCTTTATTTCTTCACTCAAGGCTAAACTAATCTTAGTTTACCAAGCCCTACTGTACTTGTTGCTAGCTTCCGTAAGTGTGAACAAGCGAGTGATTGCATGCATTCTTTTACTGGACTAGCATGAAACTTGCAGACTCCTGCAGTTCAGTTCATTCTGGCTATTGGCGCTATTGGGACCATGCAAGTTTGAATGATTGTCTATTACGAAAGCCAGCCGACAGGCAAGGCTGAGTTGTTGGTTGCGAACGTAGTGAGTATTGAGGTGTCTGGGGGGGTAGCAGCTGCAATTGCTGGATTGGAGGTCGATTTTCAATTTGATTGTGTGGGAAATCTGCTGACCACACACGGCTCTTTTCCAGGCCATGTACCAGGTGGCAATTTAGTGACGCTTCGATTCCCCCTCGTCCGCCACCCTGGTGGGCAAACTGTGGGCCTGGGCACGAAGGGCTTTGGTATTAGATGAACCATGCTGAACCTCAACGGCCGATATGGTCCGGTGGGCTTCGCATTGAAGATATTGAAGATGCTCGACCATTTTCGTCTGATTTGCGTGCAGCTTCTGATGGATGAAGCGGCGTGGGTGATATGGCCTGAGGGGAAAAGCCATCGCATTGAAGATGCTTGAACATGGAAGATGCTTGAACATGTGTGTCGATTGGGGTGAAGCTTCTGATGGATGAAGCGCTGCGGGTGATATGGCCTGAGGGAAAAGCCATCGCATTGAAGATGCTTGAACATGGAAGATGCTTGAACATGTGTGTCGATTGGGGTGAAGCTTCTGATGGATGAAGCGCTGCGGGTGATATGGCCTGAGGGAAAGAGCCATGTTGAACCTCAACGGCCGATGTGGCCCGACGGGCTTCGCATTGAAGATATTGAAGATGCTCGAACATTTTTGTCTGATTTGCGTGCAGCTTCTGATGGATGAAGCGGCGTGTGTGATGTGGCCTGAGGGGAAAAGCCATCGCATTGAAGATGCTTGAACATGGAAGATGCTTGAACATGTGTGTCGATTGGGGTGAAGCTTCTGATGGATGAAGCGCTGCGGGTGATATGGCCTGAGGGGAAAAGCCATCGCATTGAAGATGCTTGAACATGGAAGATGCTTGAACATGTGTGTCGATTGGGGTGAAGCTTCTGATGGATGAAGCGCTGCGGGTGATATGGCCTGAGGGAAAAGCCTGGCATCCGGCGGGCTTCGCATTGAAGATATTGAAGATGCTCGAACATTTTTGTCTGATTCGCGTGCAGCTTCTGATGGATGAAGCGCGTGGGTGATATGGCCTGAGGGGAAAAGCCATCGCATTGAAGATGCTTGAACATGGAAGATGCTTGAACATGTGTGTCGATTGGGGTGAAGCTTCTGATGGATGAAGCGCTGCGGGTGATATGGCCTGAGGGAAAGAGCCATGTTGAACCTCAACGGCCGATGTGGCCCGACGGGCTTCGCATTGAAGATATTGAAGATGCTCGAACATTTTTGTCTGATTTGCGTGCAGCTTCTGATGGATGAAGCGCTGCGGGTGATATGGCCTGAGGGGAAAAGCCATCGCATTGAAGATGCTTGAACATGGAAGATGCTTGAACATGTGTGTCGATTGGGGTGAAGCTTCTGATGGATGAAGCGCTGCGGGTGATATGGTCTGAGGGGACGAGCCATGCTGAACCTCAACGGCCGATGTGGTCCGGCGGGGTTCGCATTGAAGATATTGAAGATGCTCGAACATTTTTGTCGGATTTGGGTCATTTGGGTGAAGCTTCTGATGGATGCAGCGCTGCGGGCGATATGGCCTGACGGGAAGAGCCATTCCTCGTGCACCTGACAAAAAAGTTCCGCGCGTTCTTCCATCGCTGGCTTTCGTTCCCTCCCTCTCAGGTTGCATTCTATTGCCATGTTATTTGCAACACATAGACTCCATTGATCATCTTTGATCTCTCCTGTAGGGGTTTGGAATGGGGTGGTTTCATGGAGGTTTTATGCCGGCATACATCGGCAAGACCATTCTCAATTGTGCCTTGCCTGGAACCAAGGAGTATCTGCACCGTGACCCTCAGATGCCTTGGTACTTGTTGGGTCGAGCGCTTGCAGATTTGCACTTAGCGGAACCCAAGGATCCAAAGGCCGAGGGAAAATTTGGAAAAACGTGGAAAGGCTTCAACTTGCCAAGACTTATTTTGCAACCTGAACTGAAAAGAATCGCTTTAGCCAGCAACCGATGCAAAAGCACGTTTGATTCATACAATTATTGCATGTGGCCTGCTGATGCATGATAGGATTTGAAGTATGGGCCAGTTCTGTGCAATGTTCGTCATGACAGTTGAGGGAATGCACTGTAATTGTATGCAAGGTACTGCAACGAACTGTCGTGTGCGGCCCTGGAACAATTTACTGTAGGTACAGGGGTCCCTCCAAGCCAACATTGGCAACAATTTTTGCAGTTTTCTTTCTCCGTTGACAAGGACAGGTCCAGAATCCAGAATGAAGACTTGTGAAAGGGGTACGCGGTATAGGCGGTATACGACCCTTTCTCTCCCAAGTCTTTAATTGCCATATCGATCTGTTTGATCATGGAAGGGTTAACACTACTTCGAACCATTCAGGATGTTTGTCGTTCTCCAGGAATCATCTCTTTCGTATGACCATAGTCAACATATGTCAACATTGTCAGCATTTGTCAGCTCATGTTCAACTTTGCAAGGCTCTTGACGGCAGCTTTGGTTTTCCCGTGGATGGTTTCTTGGGCCGAACACCCCAAGCGAATGCATGGGACTCGTCCTGGCCACGCTTTTGGCGTCAGCGTTGCGAACGTTTGCTCCGTGGAGCTGTGCAGCTTCGACCTGCGTTTCGCAGAGTGCTCCAGGCTGCGGCGTTTCTTGTGATCCACATCTGATCCGCATGTGACCCACATTGCATCCATGTGTATCATGAATCATGTGTTGGTGACTACTGCAACACTGGCAGTCAGGCTTTATATATGAGAAGCTGCAATTCTTGCAGCCCAGTGCCCTGCTCACAGGCCACCAATAACTTGGAAGCCCTCTTTGAAGATGAGCCAGTGCGCCCCGTGCTGCTTCACGGAGACTTTTGGAACGGAAACTTTGCAGGAACGCCAAATGGGTCTAAATGGGGCATGCATGGGCATGCGATCCATGCTGAATGTTGCACATGAAATGCAGGCAAGATCCTAGCGTTCGGTTTGATGTCCTTGTTCGCATTTGTGGTTGCATCCTCTCTGATCCCTGCACCATCAAGCCAGAGAGGAAAGCAAAGGATAGCAAAGGTGCCAACTTGTGGATACTTGTAGATTCCAGAAAACATGTTGATAGATGTTTCATTTGTTTCTTTGCTACTGATGGATTCCTCACGTAGCCTTCAGAACTGCAGGGGTCAACGGAGAGCCAGCCATCTATGATCCGTGTGCTTTTTATGGCCATGCTGAAGCTGAATTTGGCATGTCTTGGTGCGCAGATCTGAATAAAGAATTTTGGCGAGGCAAGACGATGGTGCCACAAGTCTATGTTGCTAAGACTCTGACACTTACCTTCCTACGCCATTGATTCTTGCGTCCATGACACTTAAAATTGACATAATTTGTTGTTTTTCCGATATATGCGCTTGTTTAACATGAATATGACATGACAAGCCCATTTGTATCAATTTGCATTCCTTTTTGCACTCCTTTCGCATCGTTTTTCTTTACGTGCAACTGCCAGCTCTACCGAGACCCTGATTTTTCAGGCTACAGGGAGATGATTCCTGAAGCACCGCTCTTCAAAAGGAGACAACTGCTGTACCAGGCATTTCACAAGATGACACTTGTCAGACCATGACAGCCAACGACGTAACGAACATGTCAAGGTCAAAGAAGTACCCCGTCTATCCCCACTTCTTTACGCATGTACCGTATAAGGATAATAACGTATATAGTGCTATTGAATTTTCAGTGGAGAATAGGGAAGAGGCTGAGACTTGATCAAACTCTGCAAGTCGCGCTAAGTGTTGTCTTTTGTTCTTGGCATTTCTGAAGTCATCATCTCTCTTGTCGCAGCAAGCGCGATGTCATGTTTCGGCTTGCGCTTCAAATTACCTGCCAAGGAATCATTTCTGCTTGTTCAGAGACAAGCGCTATTTGACTGGCGCTGAAGCCCTTCTGCGGCGACTGCTGTGA